ACGTTTCTCAATCATCGCCAACAATAGCAAATTTGCTCTTAGCAAATTTGCTATTGTTGGCGATGATTGAGAAACGTTCGGTGGAAAAGTTGGTAAAATCGACATTCTAGCCATATTATGTTGGCCTAATGTTCGTATTTGATATTCTTCATCAATTGTACTTATTTCATGAACATCTGATATTGTAACGGTATTTGGATATGATGAACGTAATTCATGACTTTCAAAGTTGATGTCACAATCACCTATTTCATTGAGAACTGCCATTAGTGATTCATTAACTGAGACTGGTAATGATGGTCGTTCAGCCATAGATAGTTAACTGAGAAAACTAGACAATAATCTAGAATAAAAAAAAGAGAGAAAAATTCATGCATGAATTTCATTTATGGAAAGAAGTAAGCATTGGATGGATAACAATGTTTAGAAATAAGTTTTACTCTTAAATTTAATTTTCTAAAATTTGTATCGAACCCAAGTATTTGCCACCATAATCGATCGAATTTCTCATTGAATTCACATCGTGAACCCCAATCAAATAGATAACTTAATTGAATGAAAGAAGGACTGTTCTTTAATTGTCGTTGTTGTTGTTCACGCATATAAGTAAATAATCGTGTACGAAACGTAGGATATGTCCATCGATTGAGAATAATACCCCTGTCCATTGGATGAAATCGTGTAAAGAATTGTTCCATATGATATTCAACAAAATCTAATGAATAACCATTGGCTAAACAAGTTAATTCAATATAGATGCGTTCATCTTGAAAATCATCCCATGAACTACAATATTGACCAGCACGTAGAAGAGCAAATCGAACCCATTGTCGATGTGATATTCGTGGATAATTGATAGCATAGGGTAATAGAAATGGTTGTTGATTTGGATCATGATAAACACATGTATGTAGATTACCTTGACGATTTTCAATATCAACATTGAGAAAATTCACATGTAATCCAACAGAAATAATGACTGGTATATCTGGATGTTGTTGATTGAGTTCATTAAAACATTTATTGAGTTTGTCTCTCGAACCATGCCATGTTAAAAAACCCATATGATGAAAATGACCATAGAATTGATCAGCAAGACGTACTTCACTTGTGAGTGGCAAATGCCACTGATGTAAATAGATATTACCTAATAATTCTGTTAATGGTACATTTAATGGACCACCTTTACTATGTCGATAGATTTTTCCATTGTATATAAAAATATGATACTGTAAAACGAATTCTACTAATTTTTCAACGGCATCTGCTGTTAAACCATCATGTCGAATTTGTTCTACATCAGGACGATGAAGAAATTTATTCAATGCTAGGCGAAGAGCTTCGTGTGATACGCGATAATGAAAATGTTGAATTTCAAATGTAATAAAATTTGTTGTTGGTAGAAGACGATTGCTTTGACCACAATAATGTTGTAGTTGTTGTATAAAATCAGTACCATTACGAAAGCTGGTAGATCGAGAATAACTTTCAAATAATGGTCGTATTATTTGATCAAGATATGTGGCTAATCGTTGAATTGGATATTGGCTTGATGATGAACAAGTAAATCTTGGTTGTAGTGTTATATGGCCATCATGATGTATTTCTGGAAGAAAATAAAGATGTGGAATTCTGATCGTCGCTTTTTTATCGATTTGGATCTTTGGTAAATGATCTTTTCTAATGATTCGATTTTGATGCAATTTTTGCAAGTCAGAATTAATGGAATGAATCAATTCATGTAAATATTCTTGTTCAAAATTACTATTTTGATTATCTATAACTGTAATGCATTCATAACAAAGTGTATTATCTATAAATTCATTGGCTATACGATCAAATTCATCTCGTTCACCAAGATAATACATATTTTGATCATCTGCTGTTCGTCGTAGAATAAGATTATTTTGTTTTAATTGAAATTGAATTGATTGAATAAGTTTTTTTTCATTCGATGCACGTACTTTCACTGATGTTGGTATAGGTTCAGAAAATGAGCGAATAAATTGATTACGTACGGCTTTTTCAAAAGCCAAGCGACAAGTGAAATTAACATTATGTTTTGTAAATAGTTTGGTAAGTTGTTGTTGAAGTGGTGCTATGTGTTTGTTTAGTGCAAGATCAAAGATAATTGGTGATGAAGGATCATGTAATTGACATGGTGAAACATAAGTTGGACCACGATGAAGAAATGCTAATTCTTTTCTTGAAAGATAATGAATAGCATCTTGAATCAGCGTTGGTGCACAAGAGTTCTTAGTAGATTTGTTTGATAGTATATCAATGCTCCGATGATGAATCAAATCTAGTTCTTGGTTGTCGGAGTTTGCTCGAAAAAAATGTAATTTTAATTGGTGTAAACAACGAAAACGTTCATCGATGTTTTGAAGACGTTGTTTGATAATATTTAACATGGGTTCATTGAGTTTTTCATGATCAAGAGCAGTACGTTGATCTTTTTCCATTTGAGCCATATCTGTATCAAATTTCATTGTATATTCATTCATTTGTATTTCAGCAACTATAACATAGACATGTATCATATCAGATTTTGTTCGTTCGACAATCTTTTCATGTCGATTTATAAGACGTTGACGAGTTTTTTCATTCTGAATACTAGCTAATGATATTGGTGCAGGTAATTGTATATTAGCAATCGTTTCTGGTAAACATCTGTAAAGAAGACGTTGCTTCAATAGAGCTACTTCACAAATAGCTTTTTCTTTATCAAATTTAGTTTGAATAAGATTTCGAAATTTTTTCATCTATAGTAGAAACAAAAATGGATATATCTTAAGAACGTAAAAACTCTTACTTGAGATTCATTTGGATTTTCGTTTTGAAAAGCTAGTTCAAGACATCGATCTCTATAATCATATTTGATGAGAAGAAGTTTTCCTTCAATACGTAATCGATGTGCTTTGATACCTTGTTGTTCAACAAAGTTCTCCATTGCTTGTTTGATTGCTGATGTCCAATATGTCACATCTACATCAGTTTGTTTCATATCCAATTCATTCTGATAACGAGTTATTTGTTCTTGAAATTCACGGAGAGTTTGCTGAACATAATTAAGACAATAGTTATCACTGATTTCATTGGTATTCTTTGCTGTTGTTATTCGTTTCTCAATCATCATTATTTTCACATCTTCAGGCCAAATATTTGGCATAGTATGTATCATTACTGTTGCTTGTTCTTCTTGATTGAGTAATCGACCTGTACCCGAATATAAATAGGCTGTCCACAATTTAATATTCAATTGAATAAAGGTTAATTGATGTTGAAGAATAACCAATTGATAGAGATGTTTCATATTAAACACATGAGGTACTTTATCGACGATTGGTCGAAACATTCGTTCAAATTTTTGATAAACTGATGATGATGACGATGATGATTGTGAAGGTTCAGTAGTTGTTGATAATTGTCGTTCTATTTCTTCTTCTGTTCCTTGAATTTCAATCACATCAGAGATGTCATCATCTTTGTCCATTGTTCGATATGGATTATTGAAATCAACATATTCATCCGCTTCTTCATCGTCATCATCATGAAAACCATGAAATAGATCATTGAATGGTGGCTGATTACGAGCAGCCATGTTGATTTCCAATAAACAGTATAATCTAGAATAAAATAGATAGATAGATTGATATATAAAATAAAATGAAAAGAAAAGAAGAATGTTATCATATCAACTTATGTATGCTAAGGTGATGGACGACGACGATCTGGAAGACCTCGATACCATTGACCACGAACTGAATAATCTTGATGAAAATATTGATTTATTAATCGACCATTGCGATTGAGTTGACATTCAGCATGTGTAATGAAAAGTGATTCAATAAATTTTCGAACTAATGCTGAACTTTGATCAGGTAAAACAGCCACAATCGTTGCTTGATGAAAGCGAAGATGATGCATATTGATTGGGTTACGATCTTTACAATATTTAAAAAATTGTTTTTGTTCAGAAACATGTTCAGGTGTGAATTCATAATCACCCATTGGTTTGGGTACATTATCAGTCAAACGTTGAACCAGATCTTCTTGATGTCGTAATGTATATGGTGCTACTGCTGCTGCTGCTGCTAGCGGCAGTGGTGGTGGTGATGGAGTATGGATACGTGATCGTATTTCCAGTTTCATAGGTACTGGAACAAAACACCAGTACGATGGATTATTATTAAGAAACAGTTCTAGAACTGCTGGACATCGTGCTGAATGTCGATAGAGCCAGTTTTCATCATTCATTTTTGTTTCTTCTGATTTAGGAATTCTATCCAATAACTCAACATTAATTTCACCGAATAAAAATTCACAAATTGTTCGTACAATTTCTCGACGATGATATACTAAACAATCAACAAATGATAAATGTGTATGTGCCACATAATCTTTTTCACCACATACACATGTTAATGCATAGATAATATTCGATGTTGAACATACGACTGGACAATTTAAAATAGCTTGATATCGATTAAGAAAAGTATGAATTTGTTTAGGATTAAATTGAATAGTTCCAAGTTGATTTTGACAACATAAACAATTGGTTTGATGACATGGTCTCAGACCATAACGACCTTCAATTGATTGTTCATCAATTGTAAATATACCTTCGTGTGATTGTTGACCATGTGTATCAATAATAACACGTGGTAGACCTTGACGAAATGTACAAGTTTTCAAATGAAAAACATCCACATCCATTTGTAAGAAAAATTCCAATACGAATGGTAAATCTGGATCGGTAAAATTGAAATTTTTTATCCTAGCACATTTTTGTAATCGATCAAGATTACAATCCAAAATAGTTTTACCAATGGACCATTTTTTACTTAATTCTACATAGAGATTTTTGTACATTGTTATCATATACGAAGGATAATTTTTATGCGGTTTAATCCCTTCCCATGTTTGTAATTTGAAAGCAGATACATAGGCATCAATTTGACGACGTTCATATTGTTCCCGAGTAAGTAGTTGTTCTATGAATGAGAAAATAACAAAAATATAAAGCAATCTCTTGCATAATATAACTTACTAGGCACATTACATAAAAGGAAATCCACTTGATCTTCATTGATATGTATAGTACTAGAAATTGTAGTTGTGGCAGCTGTTGCTAGTGTTTTAACTGCCGATGATAATGTTGTACGTGGTGGAAATACTGGTAAAATGGCTTGTCTTGCCTTGTCTACAGATCTATTTAATGTACGCGGACGATATTCATGTTGACTGTAGTCCAACGATTGAGTAGTCGTTGGTGGTGTTAAATATTCTTCATCCGATGTAAAGATATTAGTCATTTCTAGAGAAATGATTTCACTGACGAAGAACTATCTAAAATAGAAGAAGAAGAAGATAAAAGAAAACATACTGAATAAGAATGAAAATGAAAAAGTTCAGATGCATGCAAAAAAACCACGTTTATAACGTAGAAAGTCTTAGTTCATTGATGAAATTGAAGTTGTTGGCATATCTGTAGTAGATGTATTAGGTATCTTGACTGTGTTTTTGTTCAAGTTTATGTTGATGACGGCGAAGTAAACAAGATGTGAGTACATCAAGAAGACGAATGCGACTTATCACAAAACAGATTGGAATTCCAATACAAATAGATATCAATAGCAGAAGAGATATATCACGCCAACTTTTCCAATGGGGTTTCATTTTACTATGTTGTTCTGCATAGTATTGCTCAAGTTGAGTCACGTTGATCGTATTATTCATTAAATGGAAGATCAATCTGTGATGATCTTGAATAAATTTTCGTTGATCATTGATAGTTGATTGTAGTGCATAGATATGATTCGTAGAGCTGGCTTGATTATCATTATTGCGTTTTAATCGATTGTCTATACATGGACCTTGCGCAAGTATATGCTGTATCTCTTCATATGTTAATGAACGTTGACATTTCATCATGGTTCGATCTTCATTCGTCGTCGGTATTGTCATACCTTGATTGACGAACAAAAAACTTAATAGAACAATTGAATATAATGACATATAAACCATATTGTTGATGATGATAAAAGATGATCTGAAACAAAACAATAGCAAAGATAATCAGAAATGAATATGTTTGTTAGGATAAATAAGAAATAAGTTCAAATGCATGCAAAAACGAAGTCTAGGAATATCATCTTATGATGAATCAGAAGCATGTGTATAACGTAGGACATCTTGTTTGATTGTATAAACTGGGGTTGTTGGTGTATCTGTAGCAGATGGATCACTTATCTTGACTTTCTTTTCCATTATTTGATTTTGTTTTTGTTCAAGTTTATGTTGATGACGACGAAGTAAATACGATGTGAGTACATCAAGAAGGCGAACGCGACGGATCACAAAACAGATTGGAATTCCAATACAAATGGCCATTAATAGAAGGAGACACACATCACGCCAACTTTTCCAATGGGGTTTGATTTTACTATGTTGTTCTGCATAGTGTTGTTCGAGTTCGGTCACTTTGATCGTACTATTCAGTAAATAGAAGATCCATCTGTGATGATCATGAATGAATTGTCGTTGATCATTGATGGTTGATTGTAGTGCATAGATATGATTAGTAGAATTCGCTTGATTATCATCGTGGCGTTTTAATCGATATTCTATACATGGACCTTGCGCAAGTATATGCTGTATCTCTTCATATGTGATTAAAGGTTGACATCGTGGCATGCTTCGATCTTCATTCATTGTTGGTATTGTCATACCATGATTGATGAATAATATACTTAATAGAACAATTGAATATAACGACATATAAACCATATTGTTGATGATG